TGGAAACTTCGATTATAAATTATAATATAGCATCCAATTACAAACCTAAGTTCAGAGTATTAACATATTATTATATAGTGTAGGTAACCACCACGTACATTTTACAGTGTAGGTACACTATACAGATATATAATATGGTACACTGGTACATCCTCATTCCCATCTAACTAGTGGTGGGACATCCGTATATTAATCTTTCGATTAAATTTACACCACATAAAACTTAACAACTGAGCTATTTTCTCTTTAAAATATATTCTATACACTAATTTGCACGAACATTGACTACTATCCTAGTCATTATTCCACCAACTTCTACTATTTCTTRTGTTTAATTCAATATACCCAACCACTGCTAGTGCCTTTTTATATGATGTAAAATTTACTAACTTCTAAGTTTTTTTTTGCACCTAATAATAATAAGTTATTATTTACAAATTATACAATTTGTAAGCCACTGGTCCAGATCTAAWGTTTTAAAAAACCACAATATTATAATATGTGTTGCTTAATATGAATTAGTCATAGTCAAAAAAAATTATTATACATTTACAAAGATGYCAGTCACRATACAGCACCTTGTCTGAAAWTTGCTACCATAGAGTTAATAAGTAGTAGTTTAATAAAAATATGATATTCGTTTATTTTAAGTATCGACATGGATATTAGGTGACATTATGTCTGCGTATCGGTTTACACATCGTTATAACTGATTTATAATTTTAACATCCATTGTTTTTCTTGTTCTTTGAATTATAATCGATTTTCCACTGTTGTGCTGGCGAACAAGTTGGGAACGGATTGTCTAAGCATCCATTTTTGAGGTAACATCCWGGATGCCGACACGAGTCTTGAAGACCATTAAATTTTACACACTCACACTTAGTAACCTGAAGTAAGAAATCTTTTGTTATTCATGTAATCTCAGGTATTCAGATAAGCTTAACAATTTTATAAATTCTTCAATATAGAATAATATATTGAGCCACATATCATGAGCGCTCATAGTTAAAATACTTAGCAGATGAAGAGACAATTAAAAAAAAATTGTTAAATTAACATGGTAAAAAATTATTCAATATAATAAATATCAATAATTTCGATGTTTTATCAATATGCATATTAAATATTACTATAATCGTCAGGGTTTATGATTTAGAATAATTGATATTTTAAGAATGTAATCTTATTTTATTCACCAATTTTCCATTGTTCGCCATAAACTCTCTTCCATACGCGGTCAATTCAGATCTGTCACATTCATCTCGGGCGGTGGTGCATATGTTTCTACTCGGTAATTTCTGTCTTTCGCAAGCGTTGGTCTTGATCAAGGTAGTCGGTGTCACAGGTGATAGTGAACAACAAGGGTTACCCTTCTTGGGGGTTGATTTGGGATTAACCTGTCCACAATTTATTCTTCTATTCACGTTTTCTCGTTGAATTTCTTTCAGTGTGTTAATCAAATTTTGTTGTTCACATCGCTTTTGGTTTGCTGTGTCCATGTTATTGTAAGTTTAAAATGTTAATGTTCAAATTTAGCTGTGTTTTATTTCGTTGTGTTTATCGAATAATATTTTGACTGAATGTTGTGTATTGAAAATACACGTTACTTTAGAAACCAAATTTTATTAATAAATCATTAGTTTTCAAATTAAAATAGATAAAAATCCAAAGAGGTTTATTTTTATATTTATTATTTACGTTTAGGTATGGGTATTTACTTATTAGAGCAGGAAATTTAATTGTGACAACGAATGTTAAATTTTAGACTACCTTTAAAACAAASACATCTTTTGGTTTAACAAACACTTTTACATCAACAACTTAAAAATCCCTGACCTCCAGATACAATTTGGACAGTTTTTGTTTGTCAACTTGTTCAGCTAAAATACAATTTTTTTTTCCTGTTCTAATAAATAAAAAACGTTTACATACGGTTAATAAATTAATATGATATAAATAAACTTTATTACTATACATAATTATTTAAGTTAAATTTATAAGGGTAGAATAAGTTGTTAAATTTTGTATTTCAGTACATAAAGTGGTCGTTCACTTCATGAAAAAAATTACACGATGTTAAATTTGAGTGACCATTTCRTGAAAAAGTGASCATTTCGTGAAATATTTTTGAATTTCACAAAGTGTAAAAACGTGTTTCCATTTCACGAAATGGTTATATTTTCATGAAAAGATCGATTTCACGAAATGGCTACGACATATGTAGGTATTATAAATATAAGTTCTATGAAAATATATAAATTTTTCTATCATGAAAAATTCGCTGGCTATCAGCGGCTGGCATAAAAGTTCCCGAACGTATATACTTAATTATTATTGACTCCCTTTACGCTGCCATTTTTGTTTTTATCATCAAATATTTGATAGAGAGAGAGAGAGAGAGTATATATACAATAATCTTGTATATTTCAACCATTATAGCAATCATCTATAAACAAAAATTTCCATAGTAAGTTAATCTCAAAATGACTGAACACCTCCCGGGGTTGGGCCATTCACTTTTTAACTCAGCCTATCTTCTACCCACAGATCAAATGTATCAAATTTCGTCGCAAAATCGGTTCAGCCGTTTATGAATGCATACTGATAGACTGACAGAAACCCATATATACTACATTAGAAACCTTTAAAATTATCAATGTTTCTCTCTGCTATAATATGCATGTTAAATATATAAAAACCTTTCTCTTGAATCACTCTATAATAAATTTAGAAAAACTCACATCATAWTCCACTGCGTAGTTTTAAAGATCTAAACATACAGACAGATAACAGGRACCTACTGTTTTATACTATATAGTGATGATAATTATATTGTAATTTTTTCAAAAATAATATAGGTGTCTATAAATTAAATTTCAAATTAATCAAATCATGTTATGTAGACGACTCACTCAGTCAATCTTAGTAAATACAATTCATTATTAATAAAAGTTTAATATAGAAAAAATATAATAYAATATATAAAATATAAGTTTATAATTAATTAACTATTAAAATCACAATACAAAGTAT